CTCCTCAAGAACAAGGTGTGCTCATTAAGATTAACAACTGACTTCTTGTCAGAAATCATGGATGCTGGGAGGCAATGAGATGACTATTTAATTTAATGAATGAAAAGGATGCCAATAAAATATTCTATATCTGGGGAAAATGTCCTTCAAATATGAAGGAAAAATTAATATGGTATAAGTAAACATAAACTATGGAGTTCATCAGTAATGGACTTAACATTTAAGAAATGGTAAAGGAAATCCTATGGCTTAAAATGAAAGGACACTGGATAATAACGGGAAGGCATATGAAGAAATAAAAGACCACTGATAAAGGCACCTTTCTAGAGAAATATAAAAGCTGTTGTTATTGTATATATATTTTTTGCTTTCTACATAATTTAAAAAATGAATGCCCAAAAAACCCTTATTACTTTTAATGCATGGTGGTCTAGAATAAAGACAGACATATCAGCCAGCAGAATAAAACTGAGATTTCAGAAATAAATGCATACATCCATGAACAGTCGCTATTTGGCAAGTGTGCCAAGATCATTCAGTGGGGAGAAAATTGTTCATCAATGAGTGAAACTGGAGCAACTAGACATTCATATGCTAAAGGATGATGCTGGAGCCCTGATTCATACTATGTACAGAAATGTACTAAAAACAAGTCAATGGCCTACTGTAAGACATGAAATCAAAAGACTCTTAGAAGAAAACATAAGAGTAAATCATAATGCTGCATGGGGTAACAGATTCTTTTGATAATGACACCAAACGTGTAAGAAATAAAAAAAAATAGATATGTTGGCTTCATCAAAATGATTACCTTTGTGCATCAAAGGACATTGTCAAGACAGTGGAAAGACAGCATATGACATAGGAAAATATTTTTAAGTCAGCTATTTCTTAAGGGTCTAACTTTCATCAAATATAAACTTACAACTCAAGAGCAAAAAAGATAAACAAACCGATTTTAAAAATGGGTAAGGGATTTGAATAGTTTTTTTTTTTTTTCCAAAGGAGACACAAAAAGTCAACAAAGACATGAAAATATATTCAACATCACTAGTCACCACTGCAATGAGATGCCACTCTGCACCAAATGGAAAGTCAATAGTGGGGTCTGCCTGTGGCATAGTGGTTAAAGCTGCCGCTTGTGGTGCCAGCATCCCATATGGGCACTGGTTTGAGTTTCAGCTTCTCCATTTCCAATCCAGCTCTCCGCTGTGGCCTGGGAAAGCAGTAGAAGATGGCCCAAGTCCGTGGGCCCCTGCACCCACGTGGGAGACCCAGAGGAGGCTCCTGGCTTCTGGCTTCAGATCAGCACAGCTCTGGCCATTGCAGCCAATTGGGGAGTGAACCATTGGATGGAAGACCTCTCTCTTTCTCTCTCTAACTCTGACTTTTGAATAAATAAATAAAGCTTAAAAATTTAAAAAAGAAGTTCAATAGTGATGGTAATAATGGCAGTGACATACATTGGTGGAAAAACTAGAGCCGTCACACATTGCTGGTGGGAACATGAAATATTGCTGCCCCGTGGATAATAGTTTTATGGGAAAAGTGTAAAGAACACGAAAACCTTGAAAGTGAAAGATAAATGAATAGGGAATTAGAAGTGCCAGGTAATAATGCTTGTGTAAAGCTCTTTCAACCAAAAGTCATTGGGGAAGGTGGGGAAGGGAAATATGAATATGCAGACAAATCTATTAAACCTGGAAGATAGATAAATGTATCCAAACACAGGAATTTAATACAAGATAAAGTGGACCTCTTAGTCAAATCATTAGTCAAAATCCAAATTCTTAAAAAATGAATTTACAAAGAAACCCTTTGGAAATTAAAAAGGAAAATGACAACACTGTAGTAAATGCATACAATTCATAATACAAAGAATTAATCTGTTTAAAGAGCTCACAAAAATCAGTTGGCAAATGACCAAACATCCAATAGAGAATGGAAAGGATATGGTCAGGTAGCTCACAGGAAAAAAAAAAAAAAAAACAGAAATACAAACAAAAAACAAAAATTTGAGGAATGTAAAGACAGCTACAAATGGGTTAAAACATGTAAAATAATGGCTCATGCATTTCTTGTTAAAAGAAAAGAGATAATAAGTTTTAGGGATTTTTGTTGTCATTGCCAGTGGTAGCATAGCATTTTATAACTCCTTATAGAACCACTTGGCAATAACTGTCAAAACTGAAAATCTATCCAACGTATAGACTGACACATGAGCAATTATAAATGTATGTGGTTATTCTTGGAAGCACTGTCATTTAAAAGATTGTCATCAAGAAGCTTACTGGGGGCCAGCGCTGGGGTGTAGCAGGTAAAGCCACCACCTGGAGTGATCGCTTCCCATTGGGCAGAGGTTCATCTTGGCTGCTCCACTTCTGATCCAGCTCTCTGCTAATATACCTGGGAAAGCAGCAGAGGACGGCTCAAGTCCTTGGGCCTCTGTATCCCTGTAGGAGAACCAGAAGAGGCTCCTGGCTCCTGGCTTCGGATTGACCCAGCTCCAACCATTGTGGCCATTTGGCAAGTGAACCAGTAGATGGAAGGCTCTCTCTCTCTCCCTCTCTGTGATTCTGCCTTTCAAATAAATAAATCTTTTTTTTAAGAAGCATATTGGTTTGGGTCTGGTTAAATAAATTATTCTTACAATTCTTATTCTTACAATAAAATACCATGCAGCTTTTAAAAATAAATAGGAATTATTTTATGTACAGATATAAAATATCTGCAATGCACATTAATTAGAAAAGTAATTAATTACAATCTTGTTTTCAAATGCTATGAATTACAAGGATGGTGCACTATTTAGTAGAAGCTATGTTTGCCCAAGCATTCCACATCAGCACTCTTGAATCAGAGGGAAGCAGTTGGCACCCCAGGAAGTTCATGACGCATTGTACAACTCATACTGCTCAACTCACGTGGGGGTATAACAGCTGCACCATTTCGGGTAATATACAGCATTTTTGAGGCCAAATTTGTGATCAAACCATTTCCAAGTAATAATTTACAATCTTATCTTTATTCCTTAGGGCCTTCTACTGGCTTTATCTTAATTCTTAGGAAATAGTTTGGTGCGTATTAAAAGTTGGAACATGTTGAGCAATAAATAATAATAGATGTTCAAATAGTCAAGTGCTTGTGTTGCAGATAGGGTAATTAACCCACAATGAAAAGACTTATGTGAAATAGTACATCAGGGAGTCATTACAAAGTCCAGGGCACACTTATTACCTCTGCTGGTTGTGTCCTCCTCATTCCTCACTCTCCTGATAATTGTAACCTCTCCTCGTTCACTTTACTTCTTCACTTGTGTGTTTCCTTTTCCATTTTCTCCTCATCAAAGGTTGGCTTCATCAACATAGAAAACCACACATATTTCATGCACACCACCTCCAGAACCCAGACAGTCCTGGAATATTGTATGTTCTTCACAAATGCAAAAATAAATGAATTAATGAGGATGTGAGTGAATCAATGAGTCATCTTTGCCAGTACATTTTTCTCATTAGTTGTGTTGTATAGACAGAAACTGTATGGCAGCAGTGATTCCCAAAATAGTTTCTCAAGAAGATGTTGACGCATGTTAGAGTGGCAGGATCACATGACTGTGTGAGACACTGAATTAAACGAAGTTAAAGAGGCACTTTTTTGGCAGAGGGTTTCCAAATGAGCCTTGTGACTCTCAAATATATATATATAATATGTATGTGTATATTTATATATATTTATGATATATCATATATATATGCCGCATTTCCAAACTTGATGATGAGAACCCTATTTCAGGCACCATTTGTCTGGATGAAGGCTCTAGGTGGTACATGTTGGGAAGTGATGATAAAGGCTTGTTCACCATGAACCTACTTTCAGACCATATTCTAGAAAACACTTATTTATCTTTTTTTTTTTTTGACAGGCAGAGTGGACAGTGAGAGAGAGAGACAGAGAGAAAGGTCTTCCTTCCATTGGTTCACCCTCCAATGGCTGCCACGGCCGGCGCGTTGCGCTGATCTGATGGCAGGAGCCAGGTGCTTATCCTGGTCTCCCATGGGGTGCAAGGCCCAAGGACTTGGGCCATCCTCCACTGCACTCCCTGGCCACAGCAGAGAGCTGGCCTGGAAGAGGGGCAACCGGGACAGAATCCGGCGCCCCGACCGGGACTAGAACCCAGTGTACCGGCGCCGCAAGGCGGAGGATTAGCCTAGTGAGCCGCGGTGCTGGCCCACTTATTTATCTTGACACTAGTTTGTCCCAGTGTCCTACTTATAGAACAATCTGTAGTTTTATTCTTGGTGATGATAAAGGATATATAAACTCTAGGTTATGGTTTCCAACCTATCATAATGCAACTGTGTCAATTTCATTAAAACATTCATAGAATTGAGAATTTGTGACTTACTGGGTTAAAGTTAGCCAAAACTTCACATAACCACAACAGTTATATCATTTTGTTTCTAAGATAAAATAGTAAATTGTCAAGTAATAATGTGACACTAGATATATATCATAAAACAATTTATATTTTCAGTTTGAACTTCATGCCATTATGATTTCTACAATTGAATATAATGGAAGAATAAACATTTGTGAGAATGATCTCAAGTCATTCTAGAAGCTAAATGATTTCTAAATAAAAAATTAAATTTGATTCAGTGTAGTTTTATTTTATTGTTTTCTAATTATTTAAAATTTCTAAATATTATGCCTGTAAGGTGTTATATATAATATATCTAATACTATTTTAATATTACTGTTAATAATATATAATAAATAATATGTTAATTATTAATAATATATAATGATATTCTGTCTATAAGATTATTATTAGGCTTCATATTTATTTTACAGTCACATAGAATAAATATAAATCTATCATGCTACTGCTGATTTTAAGGCTTGAGGTGGATGGTTGGTTTAAGATGTAGTTCAAACAGAATCTTTAGATCTGAAGCCTACAATATTGGGGCTGTACTATATCCGAAGTATTCTTTTACCTTTTCGTATAATCGGTGTGTCACTGTCTGCAATCAGCTGTAAGCAGTCTTGAATGACTGAAAAGCAAAAACATATCATTTTAGTTTCTTGAACAGAAATTGCAAAAGAACCAAGATATTGAGGAAAAGGTGGAAACCCATTCTTCCAGAAACACCAAATCATTATGCTCTTCACATCACTTTTATGATATCATTTTAAAAAGTTAATTTATGAAATTTGCCCACTGATTTTAGCATGAATTTGAAATTGTATAGCAAAACTTTACACAATAAGTATATCATCTATACAGTTTAGCCCAATCTGCTTTGAAATATTAAGGCTGTACAGAAAGCAAATTTACTCATTTCTTTTTCAAGTACACCAAATACATGAAACAATGGAACATCAGATCATGGTAAAACAATATTTAATTTTAAAAAGCACTAGCATTATATAATCATTAACTGCTACACGCCATACTCATGCTAACATGGGGGAAATCAAAATAATTGCTAAGGCTAGTTGGACAGATGTGAATACAGACAACATATTTAGCACCTTTTGTCCTTTGTCCTTCCAGGAATCCTAAGGATTAGCTCTTGAGAAGGGAGGCTTCTCCCCCCTGCAGGTCTTTGACTCTAATAAATCTTTTTAAATTTAAAAAATACTAAGGCTCCAAATCCAGGGATCAGTAGCTTCTTCAGGGCCTCAGAGATAGAGAGTGACTTGGCCAGAATTGAAGCCACATCTGTTTCATTTAGAATCCAAAATCAAGCCTTTTGGTAAAGTATCTCGGACCAAAAAGAGATAGCTTTTAAAAATAAGATGGGAGATTTCTCGAGGCTACACAATAAGTAAAAAGCATCTTGGAAACGTCAATCTCACACCACTTGTTATACGTGAAACTTGCCAGAGGATTTCCAAGGAAAGAAATAAACCCACAAACATCTGTGAAAAACACAAGGCATATCTCTAAACTTCCATGTTTTAGTTTAAGAAGATATTAATCTAGAGGCCGGCGCTGTGGCCTAGCCAGTAGAGCTGCCACCTGCGGTGCTGGCATCCCATACGGGTGCCGGGACTCCCAGAAGCTCCACTTCCGACCCAGCTCTCTGCTATGATCTGCGAAAGCAGTGGAGGACGGCCCAAGTCCTGGGGCCCTTGCAACTGGATGGGAGACCTGGAAGAAGCTGCCGCTTCCTGGCTTCAGATTGGTGCAGCTCCAGCCATTGTGGCCATCTGTGAAGTGAACCAGCAGATGGAAGACCTATCTCTCTGCCTCTGCATCTCTGTAACTCTGTGTTTCAAATAAATAAATGAATCTTAAAAAAAAAAGAAAAACCACGTTTTTAAAAAAAGTTATTAATCTAGATTACTTATTTCTTAGCAAGCTTTTTATTCAATATTGAAGTAATTCTTTAAAACTTGCTTCTCAATTTTAGAACTTGATATAGCAGCAGAGATTAAAACAGTAAAGTTTCTAATATTTACAACTTGGAACAGCAAATATAATATTTTGATGTTGTTCATATTCACACTATTTAAAAATTTGATCATATAAGAAAGTATATTAAGAAATTTTCCTTGGTTTTGAAACGTAGAAATATTACATTAAACTTCAACGTCTTGGCCGGCGCCGCGGCTCACTAGGCTAATCCTCCGCCTAGCGGCGCCGGCACACCGGGTTCTAGTCCCGGTCGGGGCGCCGGATTCTGTCCCGGTTGCCCCTCTTCCAGGCCAGCCCTCTGCTGTGGCCCGGGAGTGCAGTGGAGGATGGCCCAGGTGCTTGGGCCCTGCACCCCATGGGAGACCAGGAAAAGCACCTGGCTCCTGGCTCCTGCCATCGGATCGGTGCGGTGCGCCGGCCGCAGCGCGCCGGCCACGGCGGCCATTGGAGGGTGAACCAACGGCAAAAGGAAGACCTTTCTCTCTGTCTCTCTCTCTCACTGTCCACTCTGCCTGTCAAAAAATAAAAAAAAAAAAAAAAAAAAAAAAAAAAAAAAAAAAAAAAAAAAAAAAAAAACTTCAACGTCTTTACAACTGCACTGCTGCAGGTGGATTTGGTGTTGACCTGATCACTTTGACAGAAGTAGAGAGCATGTGGTCTACACTGCCGTGAATCCTGTGGTAACGAAGGCAGCTCTGCGGTTACGCTGGAGGCCTCTGTCCACTAGAAACTTGCAGGAAGCAAGAGCAAGGCAGCTAAGCCCAAAGCACACAGAAGGAGAGTCACTTTCTTAGACCCCTTTTAAAATGCTCCTAATTTTCCAGCAAACTTTTTTTTAAAGATTTATTTATTTACTTGAAAGTCAGAGTTACACAGAGAGAAAAGGAAAGGCAGAGAGAGAGTGAGAGAGAGAGAGAGAGAGGTCTTCCATCTGCTGGTTCATTCCCCAATTGGCTGCAATGGCTGGAGCTGTGCCAATCTGAAGCCAGGAGCCAGGAGCTTCTTCTGGGTCTCCCACGTGGGTGCAGGGGCCCAAGGACTTGGACCATCTTCTACTGCTTTCCCAGGCCATAGCAGAGAGCTGGATCGGAAGTGGAGCAGCTGGGACTCAAACAGGTGTCCATATGGGATGGCGGCACTTCAGGCCAGGGCGTTAACCCACTGTGGCGTCACAGCACCGTCCCCGTTCAACAAACTGTTCTTAAGTAATTGATTCACAAGGATGATCACAGGTTCAGTAGGAGAAACAAGGGTTAACCAGAGTGTCCCCAGCTCCACACCAAAGAGGGGGAGGACGATGTTAACGTTAAACTTCCAAACGTTCCACCTGTCCTTTGCAGTTCTGGGTGTATGTCTATTGTAAAGGTGAACTGAAACAGCACATGTGAAATACTTAGCCTTATACCCAGCATATAATTATGAAAAATAATTAAATCTTGGCTATTAGTGGTAGTGGTGGCAGCATTTTCATTGTTCACGGTATCAAGTCAAACTCTGTGTTAGCATGTAGCCCAACTAAACCTACCAGAGGCTGAAGAAACACTGGAATACACAGTTTCCTGTGTCAAGTCACCCTTTCTCTGACTGTTCCTGCAGGAGACCACTGTGGTTGGGGTGTATCCCCCAGAGGCTTACACTGAAGCTGCACCACGAGTGTGATAGTTGTAGAATACGGGGCTTGGGGAGCTGACGAGGATACGAGGGTGAAGTTCTGGTGAATGGGATTAGTGCCCTTGTGAAAGAGCCCACTCAAGCTTGCAGCAAGAAGGCGCCATCTGGAAGCAGGACGCAGGTGCTTGCCGGACGCTGGGTCTGCAGGCCCCTTGCTATTGGCACCCGGTCCATGGTCCTTTGTTACAGCAAACTAGGTCTGCCAAGACAGGGTCTCAGATACTGTGGTTGGTCAGAAAGAGGCTTACCTAGGAAGTCACTCAACACACTACCCATCTGATAGGAGGGTGTGGGAATTTTAATTCTGTAGCCCAACTAAAACTTGGCCACAGGCAACATTCTGAAAGACAATGGTGGGCCGGCGCCGTGGCTCACTAGGCTAATCCTCCGCCTTGCGGCACCAGCACACCAGGTTCTAGTCCCGGTTGGGGCGCCGGATTCTGTCCCGGTTGCTCGTCTTCCAGGCCAGCTCTCTGCTATGGCCAGGGAGTGCAGTGGAGGATGGCCCAAGTGCTTGGGCCCTGCACCCCATGGGAGACCAGGAGAAGCACCTGGCTCCTGCCATCGGATCAGCGTGGTGCGCCAGCCGCGGCAGCCATTGGAGGATGAACCAACGGCAAAGGAAGACCTTTCTCTCTGTCTCTCTCTCTCTCTCACTGTCCACTCTGCCTGTCAAAAAAAAAAGAATAACAGAAAGACAATGGTCTACTCTGTGATAGTTTCAGAAATTGAAACTTTAGAAGAAAATGTGCTTTAGAAAGCAAGACTTATTTCAGAAAAGAATACCAGCTGTCAAATTGACAGCCAACAGCAGTGTCTGAGTCGCACTTCGTGAAGCCAGGGCAGTTCCTCATTTGTCCTTGTCCCAGACAGTCACTGGGCTGTCCCAAGCACCTCTTTCTTTCAGAAAATTTGACATCTAAGAGCAACTCCAACGCAGATTTTTAAGCCTCTCTTTCCCACCTAACAAAGATCTGATCTGAGATTATGAATTACTACTCTGCTAATGATTTGCCCTCACGGAGAGCAGACTAAAGAAAGATGGTGTTTTAATATCTCCCAATACACGAAAGCCAAAAATAGAAACATACTTAAGTATTGGTTAAAAGTTACTAATAAATTGCGTCATCGGCTATTACATCTTAAACTTCCCCTTGGACGTTTCTGTCTGGACTTCATACCATGGCAAACTCAAATCTAATTCTGCATTTTTCTCTTCAATGCCCATCTCCTTTTCCTTCTCCATTTTTTTCTGTTGGCATATTCATAACTATCCTCTGTGTTGCCTAAGCTAGCAACTTTATAAACATGCTTGATTCCTTTCTCCTGTCTCTTGAAATTCAGCTAACAATCAAGATCAAATAGTCTGAATTCTTAACTTCTGTTTAGTCTAAATCCCACCTGTCATTCATCTCACTCAACAAATTCACTGAGTATTACATTTATGTCAGATATTGGATTAAGGTTAACAAACAAAATCAGCCCTAGCCCTACTGAGTTTAAAATTCAGTGGAAGGGGCTGGCGCCACGGCTCACTAGGCTAATCCTCCGCCTTACGGCGCCGGCACACCGGGTTCTAGTCCCAGTCGGGGCGCCGGATTCTGTCCCGGTTGCCCCTCTTCCAGGACAGCTCTCTGCTGTGGCCAGGGAGTGCAGTGGAGGATGGCTCAAGTGCTTGGGCCCTGCACCCCATGGGAGACCAGGAGAGGCACCTGGCTCCTGCCATCTGCTCAGCGCGGTGTGCCGGCCGCAGCGCGCCGGCCATGGCGGCCATTGGAGGGTGAACCAACGGCAAAGGAAGACCTATCTCTCTCTCTCTCTCACTGTCCACCCTGCCTGTCAAAAAAAAAAAAAATTCAGTGGAAGGAATAGGCACTACTCACTATCACACAAGCCGAATGGACAGCAACATCCAAGTGGCAACTGTAATAGAGGTATGGTTCTTAGGGCCGATATTTG